CCCCCCAAAGCAAAGCAAAAAAACCTTCGAAAATGTGTTTGTAGAGTGCTCAAGTCTTAGTCACCAAAATTATTAAATTTCATGATTTCAAAGAACTTAACAGTGCACATTAAAGAATATGCTCTCATAATTTCTTATGTATCCAGTGAAGTCATAATATAGAGAACTACACTCGGCATTCACTCATTTATCCAGCCAATTTATTAAAAAAAACGTTTGACAATAGAACATTGCTAGAGAGCTGGAACGGAGGTGAAAGGAGACAATTTTAGTGAAGAAAAATTTCCGTTGCTATCCGGATTCGCACCCGGGACCTATTAAATTAGAGGCGAACACCTTAACCTCTAGACGACAGGGGGCTCTCGTGGCCAAGCGATTAAGGTGTTCGCCACACATTCAAAGGTCCCAGATTCGAATCTGGGTAGTGACGGAAAACTTTTCTTCTCTAAAATTGTCTTCTTTCACCTCTTTTCCTGTTCTCTAGCAATGGTCTGTCGTCTGCTTTCGTCTCCACTTTCTGCACCCACCCCCTCACCTCCTTTGCCCCCTCCTCTGGGCTCCTGACTCTTTCTGCAGACTTTCTACTGCTTCTCTTTGGTTCCTTCTTACTGCAGTCTTTCAGCCACACCCCTGATCTTCTTGTAGGAAAGATCTACACCTAGCCTTCTCGGACAAGGGCGAAAAAATCTCGGAGGGCCCGTGTGCAATTTGTGCACGTTAAAGATCTCTTGGTGGTCTAAAAATCGATAAGAGTTGGCTTCGGCCGCCACTCGGGAAAAAAAATAAAATTTCCAACCAACTGAAAATGTTTGGAGTGTCCTGCGCGCTCAAATGACCCTATGCAGTTGCGAGCGCCGTAAAACACTTACACCCTCCCCCCCCAAAAAAAAACAACAACCCCCCAACAAAAAACAACCAGACGACGGCACCATTAAAAAACAAACAATTTACATCATTTAGGCTGGCTCACGGCCTACAACACCAAGTGCTCAGACTATAAAGGAAGAGGAAGGCCAGGCAAAAGGTGAATCGAGGGTGTCGAGGGAACCTTGAGAAAACATAGTATCACAACTGAAAGAGCTGCGGAACTGGCCTACCATAGAAAACTGCATCTCCCCTCGACGCTTAACGACAACAGAAGATGAAAAAGTAACGGAAAAGTTAGTTTAGTTTTTATAGAGGTTTTATGGCGCTCGCAACTGCATAAGATCATATGAGCGCCAGAAGATTAGAGGTGTTACAAGAGAGTAACAAACATAAAAAAACAAGAAGGGGAGATTTATAAGGACGATAGATACTTGAAAGGAAAGAAGAAGCAAACCACACCAGAGCACCCGCCAACCACCCACAACGTAAAAGTAAGAAGGAGTCGGGCTGCTTCGACTTTGCTGACGTCACTCACCGAGGAACACGTCATCAACCAGTGTCTTGTGCATGTACATGTCCAACACAGCCAGACGGGCGCTCAGCCGGGCCGCTGAAAGGAGACAGAAGAAAAAGAAAATAATGATATGTCACGACGTGGTGGAATCCAGTGCTCGTCAATTTTTGGGCATACGGAGTTATTGGTATCAGCTTAAAGCCTATTCATCTACTGTCTTCTTGGTGGGAAAAAATACCCATCTATCTTGAATAGAATTAGAGATATTTTCGATTGAAGAAAGTCAGAGTCACCTGGTTTCAAAGGCAATATTTGTGAGAAAATGGCTGCCAAAGTTTGGTAACTTCCATTGCCTGAGAGTCCTTGGAAACTGAAAATTTTCACTTTTTGTGTCTTAAATCAAGGTTTTTGTGTAAAAATCCACACAACAAAAGATGTTTTTAAATGAATATTAACAAACAAACAAAGCAAAAATAGGGGGAGGAGAGACGAGGACGATAGATCTTTGAGAGGAAAGGAGAAGTAAACTACACCTGAGCACTCACCAGCCACCTGTAAAAGGAAGAAGAACTCGATGAGATGATGATAAATTTCATTCTATTATTAACATCTAGGTTACTAATGACCATTTCAGACCTTTGTCCCTAACAAATTTCAATTCATTAAGATAATCAAGGATGAGAGGACCTATCTTAAGGAAAATAACTCGATCACATAAGAATCAATTTATAGAAAACCTGGTATACATAATATTCAACCATGAGAACATCAGATTTAGCGATATAAAGTTATTCACTCGTTCGTGAAATATTAACTTTCAACTAAAATTGAGTCTTTTACAACACGCGCGCGCATGAGAGCACATACAGACGTACACACTGAAATATTAAGTATATAACAATATGCATGTATGCACTATATTTATGTATACAGTGGAGTCTACTTAAAACGAACATGACCAATCCGACAACAACGGTAAACCGAAAGAAAACATAGTCCACGAATTGTTTCTTTTCAATTAAGCAAGCCACCTCTCTAAACCGAAAACTCGGATAAACCGAAAAAAAATCCAGCAGTCGCGCACATTTCTATTTAAGCGTACTCTCTGGCGGGGGGGGGGGGGGGTTTGTTAAGTTTTAGTAGAGGTTTTACGGCGCTCGCAACTGCATACGGTCATATGAGCGCCAGAAGATTCGAGGTGTTAAAAGAGAGTAACAAACATAAACAACAAGAAGGGGAGATAAGGGCGATGACGATAGACGTTTGATAGGAAAGAAGAAGTAAACCACACCAGAGTACCCGCCGCCAACCACCCATGGGGAGAGAGAGACAGAAAGAGAGAGAGAGAGAGAGAGAGAGAGAGAGAGAGAGAGAGAGAGAGAGAGAAACAGAGACAGAGACAGAGACAGAGACAGAAACAGAAACAGAGACACAGACAGACTCAGACACAGACACAGACAGATAGACCGACAGACAGACAAACAGACCGACAAACAGACAGACAAATGGACATGTATACAGACAGAGGAACAAAGAGAGCAACAGACAGACGATAAATAGCCTAGTGGTTAGGCTACCTGACCCGTAATCGTGACGTTGCAGGTTTGAGGGTTCGAGCCTCAGCTCGGTCCGACATTGTTTCCTTGGGAAAGGCATTTTACACGAATTTCCTGTTTGGCTCGGTTCTTTCGGAGATGGACGTTAAACTCAGAGGTCTCGCCTCTAAAATAACCTAAGAATGTTGATAAGAGCGTCAAATCTATACAATCTCACAATTTTTCCATTTCACAAACAGACAAAGTGTGTAGTTGGCGGGTGCTCAGGTGTGGTTTGCTCCTTCTTTCCTATCAAACATCTATTGTCTTTATCTCCCCTACTTCTTTTTTGTGTTTGTTACTCCCTTGTAACACCTCTCATCTTTTGGCGCTCATATGGCCGTATGCAGTTGCGAGCGTCGTAAAACCTCTACTAAAACGGACAGACAGACAGACAGACAGACAGACAGACAGACAGACAGACAGACAGACAGACAGACAGACAGACAGACAGACAGAACCCACTGGTGTAGGCGGTGCGTCGAGATTTCAACTTCATGTCTTGCACACGTTTCTGCCTCCGGCTGTCTTCCGGTGTGCTCCGGTCTTGTCCCACCTTGCGCTTGTCTAGCAGCCATTGTCGTCTGCTTTTCTCTCCGCCCTGACGGCTGCTGTTTGTGCTGCAGCGGGAGAGAGAGAAAAGAATTTGTTTTACGACCAAATGTCTCACGACGTAGTGGAATCAAGCTCTTGTCAATTTTTGGGCATATCGGGTTATTGAAATCACCTTAAAGCCTGTTCATTTGCCTTCCTTTTGGTGCAAAAAGTTGCCATCGTTGTAGCATAGAAGTCGAAATATTTGCTATTGAAGGAAGTGGGGGTCGCCTAGTGTCAGATGGGAAATTGGCGACAAAATGGCCACCAAAAATTGATGACTTTTAATGCTATAATGTCCTTGGAAACGAACGACAAATTGACTTCTTCCTCTGTGTGTGTGTGTGTGTGTGTGTGTGTGTGTGTGTGTGTGTGTTTGTGTGTGTGAGAGAGAGAGAGAGAGTGTGTGTGTGTGTGTGTGTGTGTGTATGTGTGTGTGTGTATGTGTATGTATGTATGTGTGTGTG